TTTTCACACGGGGCAACTTTTTTCATTCCTTAACGTCTGAAATATTACTGGCTTCGTCTAAAGTATTACTGGCTTATACTATAAAATGTATTTTTTATCAAGTCTATTCGACATGTCCGACTTTTTCACGAAGATTTGCGTCCCCAGGGCCCTCGATCTAGAACAGTATTTTCCAATTTTTTGGGGCCACGGTCCGGAAAAATTCCTTTATTTTTTTTCGCGGGCCGCAAAATTTTCAAAAATTTTGTACAAACTGCAAAATTTAATAAAATTGTTGCAGACTCAACAAGTTTTGCTTGAAAGAATTCATAGCAGTTATTTTGAAAGTTCCTGCTTTTTCTAAAAATTAATTTCAGCTCCAATGAAGCAGCTAGAGTGGAATGTCTTCAGAAAATTGAAGAGAAGATTCTCAGAATGAAAAATAAAAATAATTTATTTCAGCTAATGAAATTTTTTCTCAAGTGGTATTAGGACTGGAGAAAAGCTAACTTTTATTTCCATCCGGTAATTTAGACTGCCATTGTCTCTCCGAAATTTTGTAAAAAAAAATAATATATATATATATAAACAGACTTCATTGTTTCTTTTGATGAAGTCATTATGCTGGAGAAATTCCCCGCGGACCGGCGCCGGTCCGCGGACCACAGGTTCGGGAACCGTGCTCTAGAATACGGCACATTCTGTCTAAGCTTATTCTGTTTGTTTCAAAATTAATGGGCACGTGGAATAAGGATTTAAGCATAGTATTTGACACCAGGATAATCCTGCATACTAACTGGCAGGTACATGTGTACATGTTACACTGCTGGTCGAAAAGCCTTCTGACATTCGTATTTCTCCAAGAATAAGACATGATCATGGAATAAGCTCCAACACTCTTTACTTTAGTTAATAATTTGTTTAAAGCTGATAAGACAACATTTGTCGTTATTCGCTGGGAAACGTTAATGGTTTCTGATTACAGGCTACTGGGTCTCGCTTGCTACAGCCACGATGGCACTGGAGGCGAGAATTCTCTAGTTGATGGGTTGACAGTTATCAATCAATTCAAGGCAATCTGCCCCGACGGTTTTGACTTCTTTTCGAAGCACGCAATCCCGAGCGAGTTCCGCGAGGAAAGGGAAAACCGACGTCATCATTTCCATAGCACTGATTACGTGCTCAAAAGTGATCCGACAACAGGAGACTTTGTGCAGATAAGGTTAGAGTCGTGTACTGCACACACTCATTCCGCCACTGCAATATGAGGGATTGATAATTTTATTTCCGGTCCAGATACAACGTCTACGACAGGGCGCCGATGTCGAACCTTCCCCCAGACATGGCGGCTGAATTTTACGCTCACTACCAGAAACTGGGAGAGATAATTGAAGAGCACGAGAAGGATAATTGGTTCAAATTGGGCTCGGGTTCCCTCGTGCTTTTCGACAATTTCCGTGTGCTGCACGCTCGGCAAGCTTTCACCGGTCGACGGGTCATGGTGTCGGCCTATGTGTCGCGCGGGGAATTCCTCAGTGGCGCCCGGAGTCTCGGGGTGATTCCCTAATTTCATTACGATTTCATTTCTGCTTATCCGGATTGCACTCCGTCTCGTGGCATTTTCGAGATCATGAAACGAATGAGCAGTAAACAAATGGGCTGAAATGTTCAGATGTACGTCTCAAGTTTTTCGTTGAGCAGCATGCAGTTCTCGACCTATGCTCCGCATGCGCTTTCCACGGAGACAAGAGAACCTGAAATTGCTTTTCATAGCCTTGAATAAAGGTTGTGAAGAATGAACGACGACTCATGCGTTTCACTGGAGGTGAGACTGGTCATTAAATAATAAATTTGTCCAAAAATGGGATCAGTTTTTTTTCACGATATACAGTATTATTCTCATGTTTAAAAATTCTAGAAAATCAATCACAGTATTAACGAATTAAGGATCAGTCAGTCGATGAGCGAACGGTGAGTATTTTCAGTAGAATTGTCAACGAGGGAAAGAAGTGACACAAATGATTAGACAGCAGGATATTCGAAATAAGATTTTATTTTGAAAAATGTTTTAACTTCAATTAGAAGGATGGTATCTTTCTTCGGAAAACGTTTCAAGAAAATGATAGCTGACCAGGGTTTAGTTTCAGTATGGTGTTCTGCATTTAAAATGGGGGTTGGAAATAGTGCTATAGCAAATTCAATAACCGTGAGGATCAGGCATTGTAATTTTTATTCTGCAGACCGTAATTTTGAAAGCATTGATTACAAAACTGGCTTAACGAGTCATGAAAGTCGGGATTCTTCGCATTTTGAGAAATCTCCAAATCATAGCAGAATGATGAACGCCACGAGATGGCGTTCATCAAAATGGAAGGGTTTATCCATGTTCGGTGGCATTCAATGCTAAGATCATTTTATTTTTAGCTTGAAGCTTTCCAACTATTGGATATGAAACCCTGCTTCCGATCTTCGCCCCACTGACACAGTGGCTTCGCCTTGCATCGTACATCTGCGCGTGATCAACACAATCTGCAGACATGTTCGTATTTGGCTTGGCGCAAGCCTAATGTATTTTTATTTTATTTTTTACCCTGCTCCACGGGCTTTTGTGAACCCTTGATCAAGGTTGGGGCATCATTTGTGGGCCTTTTCTTCCTGTGACCCGCGCGTCAATTAGTTGTCCGCGCAAGATGAAAGGCTTCTTCAGAGATAAGATCTCTCCGAGACTAATTTCATCAACCGGTGATGACATCAACCATGAAAGTTCGTTGATCTTGAACCGAACGCAAGGTTTAGTCCTACTGTTATGCATGCAATGCATTCAAGATGATTTACTGTACTTGAACAATTTCTGCGCTTCTTATTTCCATCAAGCCGCAACATTTTAATTTCTGAAAAAAAAAACTTTTCCCGCTCGAAGGTAATGAGTATCATACTTCGAACTCACTGAAAAATGCACGAATGTCACATTCGAGGGTTCCAAAAGAAGCGGCGATATTGATTGTGCTGAATATGAAGAATTTTACCTAGGAAGCATGTCAATAATATCACACTATGAGACAGAATAAAATTGCAATGCACAGTACTGTGGAGAGAAAAGGAATGCACAAGAGTTTATTGGCGAGTCATCGGGCGTCTCCTTCCCCATTCGTCGTATCGTCATGCACAGTTCAAGTCAGTCTTATTTGAAATCATCTCTCATAAAACCTTTCGATTTCCGCATGCATTAAATAGGAATCTCGCAGTTGCACATTCCTGGACAATGTCTCACGTTACCAAGTTCCAGCTGAAGTTGCAACGTCGACATCCTGGAATATGACGGGTTCTACCCTGGAGGCATACCTGCGTTATTACGAATACGGCAGAATGTGAGGGAATCATGTATAAAATGAATACGCAAGTTTTCTTCACAAATCAGTGAGGGCGTCTCATTCACAAGCTCCTGCGTCAAGTCAAGCGCGACTCAAAATAAATCGGTTCCAACTCTGGCTCAAAAAAGTATACCATGGCTCAAAATTGCGCATTGAGAATGTCCCATGGTGATCCAATCCAAAAAAAATTTATGCATCCACGAGGAACTTCTGGAGTACCAAATTCACTCCCGTACCACTTGCTCCTGCATACGGCGTGTTGCCCACTTTTTGGGAAGAAAAGTAATCGAAGAAATAATCGATATGAAAGACGCGCATCATTTTTCTTGATGCCAAAATGTATATGCGCAAAATGTGTGCGTGTCAGGTTCGATGCATCAACAGCATGTATATTTTATTTTACTTTCGCCAACAGCAAAATTAAATTTAATTATGAATGCCAAAAGGTTAACTTTAAACCCAAATTTAAACGTCATCGTTTTATTCTTAATTCAGCTTCCAACTTAACAGTGCTCATCTGAAGCATATTTTAAAGAGGCATTTCGAAATTCCCTGTACAGTATTGCATGAGTCCACCTGATGGGTCACTTGTCTGACGCGCACCCAAATTTTTGTCACAGATATCTGGAAAAACACGCACCCATTCTTGTACTCGTGTACGACACGCATCTGGAATTTTCATTCAGAATTCCGTAAGAAAAAGTGCGTGTGGTACACAAGTGAATACGGTAATAACGAGCGATCTCACGATCGCGGCTTGTTTTCGACATCGAAGTCAGTCCCGAGAGGGCGAAAAAGTGGAAGAACCACAAAGGGTGAAACAATGAAAAATGAACGGAAGAAGCCCCCCGGAACACAAAACAAGGCAATCACCAAGGCCTCGAATTCTCCCCCAAGCGTTCTCCGCAGCAGTCCACACCCGCGTTAGCAGAGCCTTTTTTTCTTTCTTTCTTTTTTTTTTTTTTTGCTGACGATTGAGCGGGATTTCGTAGCCGACCTCAGTCATAGCACAAGGATATCGACCGCGTTTCCCCTTCGCCTCTTAGACTGGCCCGTTCAAACCTCTCGCCGATGTCTGCGTCGGATCCGTGTGTCAACCCGTAGCAGAAGTACATCAGCATACCTGCCAAAAGTAGAGACAATCATTTGCATTTGATCCATAAGATTTTCCTCGAGCAAGAGAGGTTATGCCCTACATCTTTCACCAAAAAATCAGAGGGTTGATCCTGAAGGTACTAGAATTCCAAAAAACTTATTGGTGAATTGTGCGCTAAGTACCTCATCCATTTCTGTGTGTGGCAATTTCCCAGGTCTTGTGACTGTTTCGAATGGAAGACATAATGCCATACTTTCGATTTTGATGTCAGTGTTTCTCAGTGCAAAGGATACACTGAAAATGCAACGGATGCATAGAAATTGCTCGAGTGAATGTTAAGAGTGACGTTAAGGCTGAACAGCACTGAGTGATGATGACGTAATTTAATTCAAAGCTTTTTCATGATCGTAAAACCCTGCTCTGGTTAGCCTCAAAACGTATAGGTCATCTGCTACCATGAAATTTTTTTCTTAAACTTGGAGGACAGAAAGTCGTATGGGAAAGAGGCCGGTTTTTTATTCAAAAACGGCAAATTCAAATTTCCGGAAAAAACTAACCCAGGTTTCTTTCAAGACCAAACTGAAAACGATGGCTCCTAGGATTCACGCAGCTGCTAGAGCACACGAAAATCCCGAGGCAAGCCTTTCAGGGACACACGAATGTCGAAAACTAATTTTAAAATACGCAGTCTAATCTTCAATGCAAAACGAAAGTTGAACATTCAAACAAGACCGGAAGCGATGCTGTAAATGCGTGGGAGTTGATCCAACAATATCACAGTCTTCGAGTTAAATTAAAATCCAGTAGTAAAATGAGAGTTGATGCGCGTTAACCTTCGAAGATAAAGTCAGGAGATACCCCTCAATTAATTAATGCTCAATTTTTTTAACGCAACAGTTAGTCGTAAAGGGTGTTCATCGAAGATTTAGTCCAGGTTCTATCCCTCGGTTGACATTAATGGTTCGTGATTGCCCCCGGATGAATACTGTACAAGATTTGCGGCCAGATGCCATCAACGGCCTTGCATGGGAACACACGGAAGTTTCTAACCGGGCGCAGGTACCAGAAAAAATGAGCAAGTGCAACGAAGTCCATTAAAATAAATAAAATAAAAAACTCCGAGGACCCGGGAAGATGCTTTTAACGCTCCCAGAATCTGCTGGCGCTTCTTGATGACGCGGAAAATGTACCAGTTACTTCGAAAGCTTGCGAAAACATCAAGAAGTCCAGGACAAACCTCTCTCTCTCTTCATTCGGAGCACAGCCGTAAAAAAAAGAGTCCCGGAAGCAGCATTGTCACATACTCACCAATCAACGTCGTGACACCGAAAAGAGCCCAGGCAACGGCGTCGAGGGTCATTAGCAGCGCCACGTAGCAAATGATACTGATGATGGGCATGACTGGGACTCCCGGGACGTGGAAGCTGGACGGCAGCGGCCGCTGGTCGTAGCTGCAGATCACCAGTGTCCCTGCGAGCGACGAGAAAAGCGAATGATGCAAGTCGCGAGGGGTCCGGAAGCGAGGCGCCAGTGTACCAAGTCGACATTAAACCTGAAGTCAATCATTATCCGCCTCGCTGGGAAACACGTTTGATCTCTACTATCGTGTTTGCCAAGAAAGAAGACGCGTCTGATGCTAATAATTCATCCAAAATGTGCGGCGAGGGAGAGGTTCTCAATCTGGACTCTGCAGCACTTCCGAAGAGTGCATCGGCGGATACAGTACAAAAAAGGAAAGAAAATCGTATTTTAATGTACTTATCACGAAGAAATAGGACACTGAAATAATATGCGAGGAGTTGCACATATCTGTAGCTCGAGGTAAACGAAACAAAAACATGAGGTTTTAATTCTTCGGAGTAAAGTTAACATTTTTTAGGGGGACTTCATGCGTGAAAATCGATTTTAGGGATTGTTCGGCAATTGAATTTGAAAAGCACTCCTCAAAGTGAAAAAGTCGAGAATCTTAGAATTGGGGTTTACTGTATTAAAACATGACGATCTATGATGTGAACCGATAAATTTCGGACGGATTTTAAAATCTCAAAGTTACATCAGAAACTATGCGCGCTGAGAATCTCAATCGAGGCAACTCAATTCATGTTACAGTATATTGTATTTTGTATGCACCGGGCTAATTTTTAGAGCATTTTCTAGGAGTCCAATTTTCACATTTGGAAGTTTTAAATAATCGAATGTGTTCTAAACACTGTAGTCAAAATCAAACTCTGACCAGGTGCCTAGAAATAATCTTCAACAGGAAATTTATCAAGCCACGTGTTGAGAGAAATTTCTCAGCAGTTAACTTGGGAATTTTTTTTATTCGCACATATTGCGAAGTTGCTAGAGTTACTTTACGTAGCTTCTGAATTTAGACAGTGTTCCTGGTGCATCCATTTCCTGCAGCACAAAGGAGCCCAATGTTTTGTGTTTAGTAATATAATGAACACACACACATATATATATATATATATATATATATATATATATATATGTATTTATTTATTTATTTATTTATTTATTAGAGGCCTAACTCACAAAATTAATTTAATAAATATTGGCGAGGATCATTTTAGAGACACGACTTATTTCATCGAGCTAATATTTTTCTGGGAATCAAAGTAGTAACGGTAGTTCAGTGAATAGCCCGTTGGATTCAAATTTATCCTTTCCGAAAATTTGAGACCTGGAAAATCTGGCCTTTTTTTAATTTTCGCCTTCATTATCTCACCAAAATGCTAAGGGGCTCTGACCAGCTTCTTTATATCCTTGACACAAATAAAAGTTTTTCATCGCATAAACTTCCATTGAACGGATTTAGCGAGAGATGTATACTGTGGACCGATGCTACAATGCATCTAGCCCAGGGATGTTCTAAAAAAATTAAACCTTTTCCTGTTCCAGTCGATCACAGGACCAAACCTCGTGACGCGACAGAGCAGTCACGGTTTACCCACGATGAAAAAAAAACATCATTATTTTTAATTGGATTGCTCGGCGTTAAGCCCAAGTGTTGGGATACTCTGAAGGGTTGGACGTTTTCATGACTTGACTACAGGACAGCGCCGACCAAAGAACGAATTACAGAGCATTAAAAAGTACGTGGGAAAATAACAAACTAGTTCAGCATGGTAAGGGAAATTTCAACCGTTCCCCAGCCTACTGCATTTTATTAAAGGTCCAAAACTTGTGGTGAATGGAGCCGCTAACATGCCAACAGTAAGCGGAAAAAAATCTGTAATTATTTTCCAAATGAATTTCCGTCGGTGTTAACCAATATCTAATGAACTTAGCATCGATTCAAAGGATGATAAAGGAATAAGGAACGCGTGGGAAACTCGGAAATTATCTCAGTACTTTAGAAAAAATAAAATTCAACAGCATCTTTCCCATAGAGCTTCAAAACGAGCTGAGTAGTTCAGATTATTTTACAAATAATGTAGATATCTTGGTGCAAATTACCCTCGTTATTCGTTCGGGGGTTGGACGCTGTCAGGGCTGTGCTACAAGAGATCTTTGTCCAGAACATGAATAACGAAATACGTGCATTATTAAATACAGTATTGTATTTGGGAAACATTACAAGTACTGTATACAGTTCAGAAACGTGAGATATTGTACCTACTATTCAACTGTTCCCCTACCTGTTCCATTCAATTATTGTATATACAGTGGCTCCAAAACGTGTGACGGACGGAGCAGTGACGGTGTGCGTGTCGCAAGAAAAACATATACTGGGCATCATTCTTTTCGAATTTAATTTTTCGGTGCTAAATCGACTGTTGGGATTCGCTCACGTGTTGGACGCTTTCGTGGCTCAACTACAGGACTCAGCATCGACTAATACACTAGCACGGGAANTCAACCGTTCCCCAGCCTACTGCATTTTATTAAAGGTCCAAAACTTGTGGTGAATGGAGCCGCTAACATGCCAACAGTAAGCGTAAAAAAATCTGTAATTATTTTCCAAATGAATTTCCGTCGGTGTAAACCAATATCTAATGAACTTAGCATGTATTGAAAGGATGACAAAGGAAGAAGGAACGCGTGGGAAACTCGGAAATTATCTCAGTACTTTAGAAAAAATAAAATTCAACAGCATCTTTCCCATAGAGCTTCAAAACGAGCTGAGCAGTTCAGATTATTTTACAAATAATGTAGATATCTTGGTGCAAATTAGCCTCGTTATTCGTTCGGGGGTTGGACGCTGTCAGGGTTGTGCTACAAGAGATCTTTGTCCAGAACATGAATAACGAAATACGTGCATTATTAAATACAGTATTGTATTTGGGAAACATTATAAGTACTGTATACAGTTCAGAAACGTGAGATATTGTACCTACTATTCAACTGTTCCCCTACCTGTTCCATTCAATTATTGTATATACAGTGGCTCCAAAACGTGTGACGGACGGAGCAGTGACGGTGTGCGTGTCGCAAGAAAAACATATACTGGGCATCATTCTTTTCGAATTTAATTTTTCGGTGCTAAATCGACTGTTGGGATTCGCTCACGTGTTGGACGCTTTCGTGGCTCAACTACAGGACTCAGCATCGACTAATACACTAGCACGGGAAGCGGAAGTACCCAGAATGATGAGCAGCCCGAGACACACGACGATCGCCAGGACGCCATGGTGCAGCTCCACCAGGTCGTCGTAACGCAGCCTGACGACGGTTCCGATCCCCGCCGTCGCGAAAATAATCACCAGGAGGCATGCCAAGATCACGGAGCCACGCTTGAACGGCCTGAGCAGGAGTTGCAAGCCTTGGCACAGACCACAGGCTCCAGGAGGGTTCGCCAGCTGCACGCGAGGAACACGCGCAATGCGTGGAGTTAGACAACCGAATCCGCATTCACAACATCACAATAGGCATTTTCAGCGTCAAGCGAGGGAAATACGAACTCGCACGACACGGCATATGTTGAGCATCCTCGACAAAAGCGAGGTTTTACTGGGACGAAAATACTGTGTATACACTCCTGAACAATCGACTCTTGTAAATCTCGTCGGAACGCGATCATCTTCTTTTTTCCCCGCCTAGCTCGATGCAACAAAGCACGCCGAAAACATTTTCAATGGTCATCGATGCGTCTTACAGTTCTGACAATGCAGGGGTTTTCATTCATGGGTTGACGTACCACTGGTAATACAGTACCTGTAAAAATGTTTTCGCGAGATTTTCTGAGCCCTCCTCTGGAAGTGGATGACGCCCGCGAAAACGCATTAAATCTAAGAGCTTACGAGGGGCCAGAAGGATAGAGACAGAAAAATCAGCGACGGGAAGTTTTGAAATATATTTTTATTTTGTTTTAAATTATTTGGTTTTAAATCAGTACGTATTCTGAGTTGAAGTCGTCAATGGTAGGTTCTGAACGTCCAAAAGATGGTTCGATAAGACAACCATGCCTAGAAAAAAAAGACAAATCTACAAAAATTCATAATCAACCGTATTTCGCAGTCCTCGAAAAGTTGGTCACATTAAACAGTATTTCGGGATTTTTCTGTTGCTGGTGGGGTGTATGTTTACTTTTTTTCTTCTTCTTGGAAGCACACAAGACCATTATTTATCCCGGCATATTAATCAATTTTTGAAACCTATAACATTCTTATCGGAATACAGCATTGCACATTACTATGATTTTTCTGGGAAATTTTCAAAATCAGATACTGTATCTTCAAGGAAAAGCTTCAGGTGCAAAAGAAACCTCAGAAAAGGTCTGTACTTCCGTGTGGGATCGGTTTTCGAGATGAGAGTACTCGAGCTTTGATCATCGGAAACGTGAAAGCATCAGGCACGAGAACTTCCAAGGAACAAGGACAAGGTGCCAGCATCCATTTCCGATGAAAATTGCTTTTAATCAACATCTTCAGTGAGCTCGTTTTGATTAAACACAGCCTGCGCCTCAATCAAAAGGATGCCGACTTAGCCAAGCAATAAACCGGGTACTGCTGCTTTGAAGTCAGCCTGGTTTACACAGGCGGATAGGAGTTTCGAGTGCTCATCCCGAACCAGGTCGGGCACTCCCAGGAGCAGCGCGTCTTTGACATGAGCAGCACGCTGTATAGACGTCCTCCCAATGACGGATCCAGAGGAGTGACTTCGACGTAAACTGACCGAAAAATTATTCACAGGTTTCACACATTTGATTTGAGCTACCAGATGAATCCCAGGGTGGATTTTTAAATACAGTTAGACCCCGAGATCAGACTGCGCCCATGCGTTGGATTTCATTTTTCTGAAGGGAAAATTTTCAATTGTTCTCATGCTTGGCAAAAAATGGGGAAAAGCCCGTTCATCTTGACTTTGAAATTCTACAAAAAAAACTGTGCAGACGAAGAAAAACGCAGAATCTGCCATTTCAGCATGAACAGAAGTCACAACGGCAAAACCACACATACATTTGACGGTAAAAACTAAGAAGAAAAGCTCGATAAGATTTATTTTGAATCTATGTCCACGACAGTAACTCAATTGTTTCAATTGATATCAAAATTTTAAGGAATAATATTTTCCCCTGAAATTTGGGGTAAGTGTCCATATCTCGATACATTTTTCCGCTGATGTAGGGCAGATTTTTTAAGCTCGAAGTGTCTATAAGTCAAATCGTCCGCATATATGTTGGGGTCCCTACTGTTTTTTTTTTCAAGAAAGGAGTAATTCAAGACAATGCATTGCTTATTTGGTCTTCCCTTCTAAACCCCTTCGAACAAAAGCTTATTGCATGTAAAATTTATTACATATGAGTATTCAATTTTTGAAGACCGTTGATTTTTTTTAAAATTAAACTGATCATCTTCGACTTTAAACAGGAACGCTTCTTTCTTTCATCTTGAGCAAATAAAAAAATAAAATTCCAGAAAATTGGTTTTGCTTTTTTAAGCATGATTTTCAAAATCAAAAACAATTTTAAAATCCATGCAGCATTATTCGCTTTCTACATGAAGCAGTTTTCGAAGTAACGGAAGTGTTTGACAATGTCATAAGAGGAGTGTTTTTCAATTACAATATAAACTAGGTGGGACAGATGAAAATGAAACAAATGCGATCCCATTGGTTTGACTTTCATTATAACGGCCAAGTTCAAATTTAAAGCAATCAGAGTTTTTTTAATATTGATGTTTCAAGATCGGTCGACATTTTTTGGCTTGATCCGTTGAATAGAATCAGATATGATTTTATGAATGATTTGAGGGAGCAAGTTTTGAAAAAGAGGTAATAGTTCGGAAAGTCCCGTGAAAAGGTCTAGCGAACAGATTGCAACATTGCAACATTTCTTCGCGAACGTGGAGTTGGAAAGTTCAAATCTCGAGAGACATTTTTCCGGAGATTGAGGCCATTTTTAGAAAGACTAAATCATTAGTTTAAAATACGATTTGTTGATAGCCGCCGGAAACTACCCTTCGTCGGGCTTCAAGGGCAACAAGAGTAGAAAGGTCAAAGTGATAGGTCTTCCACAGCGCAAGCTTCTCAGGGGTTATCCGGTCCTCTTGAAGAGTTGTAATGAGAAAACTTTTCCCGAGGCTCGCACTGCGGTTTCCGAAAACTGAAGAACTCACCTCGTCATGCCACAAGCATTCGCTGTCTTTGCTGTTATCAAGGCTCGAGGCTCCGTTGATGGCAAACCGGGCGCGGGTTAAGAACGGCGGCGGATCGTATCGAAGGATGATCAGTGACCCGCTGACGATTATGTAGGTAAGAAGGCAACCCGCGTTCGTCAGCTTTATCATGTCTGTGATCCGGAAAAGCAACGACATCGCCATGGAAATCAAGCCCGTAAATATAATAGCCGACGTTGGCGCCAGTGTCTTCGGGTTCACGTAGGCCAAGCTCCTGAGAAAGTATCGATGATTGAAACACAATTCACGTGAGAAGAAACGATCAATCAGTAATTAGCTTCATTTTTGGCAGGGCATTAGATACCTCATTCCCAATGATTTTTTTTTATTCATTTACGCAATTCATTCATCACGAATTAATGAGTTTGACTGCTACGGTACTTGCATAAAACGAAAAAAGCTCGTTGTCAGTGCTAGATCACATGCATGATAAGTCCAACACAAACTAGACGCATTTGTCATTAGATGGCTTTTAATTGCTTAGGCGTGCAGCTGCAATATATATCACCAAGAAAAAGCTTTAAAAGAACTCTTACGCGGAAGAAAAATCTAAAGCCCGTCTTCGCGGTTTTATATGGTTCTTTTTTAATAACCATGACATGCAACAAAAAATTCGACGGCCGGGAAACGAAAACCGTAATTTTTCTACATGCTGACGAATCAAGGATAGTCTGATTACGCCAACAAATAACCCTGCATTTAAATGAATTAACCTGATGCGTGGGTTTTATTTAACATCACTCTCTCCTATCCAATCTCACCAAACATATCACAACCAAGGAAACCAAACGTATCCTGATTAAAAAGCCACGTCACTCAGGTTCTATCCCCATATCCACTTCCTGAACATTGCCTACCTTGTATGCAAAAAAAATTATACGAGAACATAATTCTAAGCATCTGCTTCCACTTGAGAAGTAGAAGGAGGGAGTGCTCAGTTTCGTGGGAAACTTGCTTGTCCATGAATACGTACCAACCCTCTTTTCTTCCAATTGCAGGAATATAAAAGCAATTGGCTCATGCATGGAAATTATGCACCCCAATAAAGTTAATCACCTTACTTGCATAAAAATTCACAACGGAGATAATCTGAGATGTATAGGGTTGGTCGATTGGAACTGGTATGCAGATGCACCGCACGGGTGACTTGAACAAGAAATTAGACGATCACAGCATTATTCGCCATTGGTCTCGTTTTCAATCTTACTTTTTCAGTCGCACTTGCAGTTTGAAGAAACATTAAAAATGT